ATGCTTTTAAGTATAACATCACCCTGCACTTCTTCACCGGATTTGCTGGAAGCTTCATCACCATCATCATCTCCACCCAAATAAGAAGAACCCAACTTCCTTAGAGATTTACTTCCATATTCCAGAGCAGATGTTCCACTGTTCCGAGAATACAAGTAAACACAACCACAAATGATACCCAGCACCACTATCCAAGTTACCAGCCGCTTCTTTTGATCCCCATCACCTTTTCCCCTTGACATCTTTCGCAACCAGAAACAGAAAATGAAAATATCCCTTCTACTTTCACTAAAGGTTAAAATCAGAAGCTCATTCCCTCTCCAGGATATTCAAAATAGGTAATGGATGGACCGTGAGCAAAAGTTCAGCACCGAATCTAGTACCTAGGTTGTTTAATTCACTCCCGTGATTGCCTGAAGCTCCTTGTCATCACCAGCCTTGTTTCCAAAAATAAAATTAAGTTAGGACTTATCATCCATAACTGAAAGCAAATATTTATCATATCTAGAACACAACATATAATATATAAATAAAAAGATCCTGGATTGCTCATATCTAACTAGCGAAATCTATGTAAAAACATTAACTAAAACAAAATCCCATATCTGCAGGCCAAAAATTCAATAAAAAAAGAAAAGAGGATAGCATTAACTAGAGATAGATCTGAGACAGACTTGAAACTAAATAATCAAGTAAACCCAATTCAATCAGAGATCATTAATTACATAATGGCAATAATATTACTAGTAATATAAAAATAAATGCACCGACAATAACTACTTGCCAGCTATAATTTGACACGGTTAAGCATTAAAAGAGATTGATTGAGAGACCCTGACAAGTAAAAAAATTTCAAGAATTGAAAGTTGCGATCTTGGTAAGCATCAGACCCAGAAAAATTTCTTCGAATCAAGAAGAAAGTAGCAAACTTTGTTGATTTTTGTGGAGAGGAAGATTGACAGGCTACAAGAAAACTCACCAACTGAAACTGAGATGGGAACTGAGGATGAGACTGGTGCTCAGAGGGGGAGAAAATGGCACAGTGTAGATCTTGAAATGCAAGCAATGAAGCCAATATATGATGACAGTGGGGATGATAAGTGGATCTGAGAACAGAGTATGAATGCGATATTATTATAAATATAATTTTTTTTCAAAGCTTTTTATTATTTTTATTTAAATATTAATACTTTTATTTTTTCAATTTCTTTTATTTTTTGATATGATTTTTATGTTTTTATCAGCTTTGATTTCCTTCATTCTTTTTAAGCTATAAATTTAACAATACAGCGGATTTCATTATGAATGTGAATAAAGCAAGCAAGTTACCTACCTAAAAGGAATAATCTAATAATTTTATATACCAAAAATGGAAAGAGTTTATGCATGCAAGGCGGGTCGGTTATGGAGTTTTTTTATAAAAAATAAAATAAAATCTCACAGTTTTATTTCATTTAAAAACTATTATATTAAAAAAAAGGAAAAATAACATATTTTAACTGATTAAGTTGTTAAAAATAACACTAGTACATTGTATTATTGGTAACGACACAAATAAAAAAAATAGGTTTTTTTTTAATATTAAAAGTCTTTTTGGCTAAAATGGCTAACATTATTTTATTCTATATAGTAGTCTATTTAAATTTTATAGAATTCCTTAACTTATTAGATTAATTAATAGTCATAAAAAGAGTTTTAGGAATAAAACGACTGTAAATCTTGAGTTTTGATAACTGAAAATTTTGGGTTTTTTTATAAATAATTAATTAAAAAATAGATAAATATCAAGAATAAAGAAGATGTGTGTGTATTCTTCTTTGTGTCGGCAGTGATCGTGTTGCTGCAAGTTGTCATGTGTATATAATAGTCTTTAAGGCATTGCTATGGTCAAGTTGAGGATCTAAGGGTATATTTGGCAAGTTATTTCTGCCTTTATAACTCTATTATCAGCCTTGAAGCTGAGATTTATTATTCATTTTTTAGCTTTCTCGCTTAAGAAACGGCATGTTTTCCTAGTTCCTTCTTATTGTTTATAAAATATACATATCTTCATTAATATATCTATAAATATTCAAATTAAAAAATATTTAAAATAAATATCTAATATGTGTGTGTATGATATCTTGAATATTTATTAAAATATTTATCTTAAAAAATCTATATAAGCTCATTTATCTAGGAGTATGTAAAAAAAATCAGAATTCATCTCTTTAAAGTTTATCTCTCTGAACTTTAAATCTAAAACAATATAAGATAATATTTTTTTTGTCACATGTATAAACACTAAAAAATATTTATTATTCCTGCCACCTATATAAATACTATACTAAAACTTTGAAGTGTTTTTTTAGTAGGTTAACCAGCTTACTACCCATCAAAATTTTCAAATATAATTTTATCGAAGCATTGAAAGCATTCCTAATCTTTCTACTGAAGATATTTTCTAGCCTGTCACTTCTTTTTAGGTTCTGCTAAATGGTATCATTTGCATGATTATTAGGATGATGATAATGTAGTTCCATTGATTTATAATGGTATTCGATCAATTATCAAAATAAATGTATTTGTTAGTTAAAATGGGTTTTTGATATTGTGTTCCATGTGTCTTTCTAAATGTGTTTTTTCACTTTAAAATTAATTAAAATATTTTTTTATAATTTAAAAATCAATATATAAAAATTATTAAAAAATATAAAAAAATATTGATTTTATTTTAAAAATAGAACCTGACAAAAAGATTAAAAATAATTTATTTTAAATTCTGTGAGTTATAACTTAACTAATTAGCTATATATTTATTTTCTAGAATTTATTAATTCAAGTTTTATAACTTTTAAAGTTATAATAAATTTATATAGTTATTAATTTTAAAATTTATAAAATTAATCAAATACATATAAACTAGTCTGACTATTTATATTAATAAAAAAATTAATTATTTTAATTGTGGTCATTATTAAAAAGTGGAGTGGGATGTCATTATCAATTTCACACAATTCTCATTTTTTCAAAAAAGAAAAACCTCAAATATTCATGCAGTATTCCACTCTGACGTGGCTTATCTCGACCGAGGACGAATCTAGTTTGGCCAGGGGTGGCCCTCACAGGCTGACATTCTCCGTTACAATTTTTTGGCCCTTTTGCCATATAATAATTTAACATTATTTAGATATAATTTGATACTATGGTAGGACGGTTTTTAAAGTATTTTCTATTTAAAATGTATTAAAATATATTTTTATATTTTAAAAATTATTTTTAATATTAACACATTAAAATAATTTTAAAAATTAAAATTTATTTTAAAACAAAACTTTTTTTAATATTTTTACAAAAATACTTCTCAATCATAAAAACAAATAAACCTTATAACTCCTTTTTTTAAGTTTTTTATTTAATCATCAAAAATGAAAAAACCCAATCATTTTCCCTTGAAGAACTCTTCTAAATGTGTGTTTGGTGTGCTAGCTTTTGTTGATTAGATTTTTTAAAAAATAAGTTTTAAAAAATGTTTTTACTTGTGGTTTTATATATATATATACATGAGTAAAACTACTGTAAGATGATTTTTATGAGCAGAATAAATTAAAAAAAATAGTTTTTTAAAGATAAAAAATAGATTATTTTAGTTTTCACAAAACTAAGTTTTGAAATGTAATTATGGCCAATACACAAAATAAAAATTATTTAGCTAACTAAATATTCTTTTTCTATGTAAGTGGATAAAAATAAAAAACTACAACCATACCAAATGATCTCAAACTCTTTTCTCACCAGGATAAATCTACCGGAGTTAGGAATTTCTCTCTCTATGAGGACTAATAGTTCATCCTCTTATGTAAAAAAAAAAAGAGGAAAGTAATTGATATTTAAAAAACTAAATTTCTTTTATTTTCATTCCTGAAAAGAATTTTTTTTCTCTTTAAAACCACCACGCTGTTTGATTTTGAAAAATATTGACAATCAACTATGAGTTAAAAAAAAAAAACAATTTTTTTTTTGTTTTTTATGTGTTTGTTTTAAGTAAAACATTTTTTGAATGAAAACTATTTTACATGTAAATGTTTTTTTTATGAAAAAAGGCTTAACAATATTGGATAAGTAATAATATAAAAAGAATTAGGAAAACATCACTTGAAATAAATAAAAAAGGAAAAAAAATAAAAAATAAAAATCAAATTGAATAAATTATTCAAAAACAAAATTATAATAACAAGAAAAGAGATAAAAATTTAGATAATCAGCAAGTTAAAGAGTTGTTTTTGAATTTTTTTTTCAAATAATGTAAAAATTCAGGCAAAGAAGAGAGAAAATAAGGTGGAAAAAAAAATCATTAATGTCAAAATACCACGATTCCTTGCACTTGTGTTGTTTCATCTAGTTTGAGGTGTTGACAACTTTCAAACATAGCTTTAGAAAGCAACATTTGATAGTCAAATAACCTCCCATGCTTGTTTGTAATAATTTGGAGCTATCCACGCACTAACACACACAACATAAATATTAACATAATTTTTTAATTATATTTAATAAATATAATCAATAACCATACCCTGAGCACTCTTAAAAAAACATTAAAAACAATATAAAACAATAAATAAAACCCCTGGATAAGAGTTAAATTGATCTTGTTTTTAAAGCATCAAAATATTTATATTATCTAAAAATTAAAGATACAAAAATATTATTGAATAGTAGATATTAAATTATTTTATTTTAGAGTGAATTTAATAATTTTACTATACATAATAAAATAAAAATATTAATCTAACCAGTATAATTTTTTTTTTAAAAACTAATTGTGTCAGAAAGATAATCTTACTGGCAAGGCTTCAGTGTTTTTTCCATGAACAAATTTATAATTATACTATTTATTATTATAATAAATTGTAATTTGTGTCTATATATATTAACTTTCTTAAAGGGATTTAGCTTTTTTTTTTTCAATAAAAGAAAAAAGAGGCGCGAATGAATAGAACCTGTTAAACGACGGCGCTGAATAAAAAAAATTAGGGATTCCGATTCTTACCTGCTCAATTGTGAATTTTAAAAATTTCAACCTCCCTAGTCCCAGACACAGCACAAAAAACAATGGATTCCGTTGCAGAATCATCAAAAAATAGAAAACGCCTTCGAGAAGAAGAGGAACAACAAAAAAAAGAAGAGATCAAAGCTGAAGAAACAAGCTCTACCGATCAAACTCTCTCACTCGGTAAATATTTCTTTCTTACCTTATATCTTCATGGTTTTCTCCTTCGACATCAGTTTTGACTCACCGAGTTTTGTGATTTCCTCTTATGAAGTGGACAGTCTCACGTTTAGCGATACAATGGTGGCTCTTCGCATAATGCGAGCTCAGTTTCCACATATCGACAAGGTCAATCGCCCCCCTCGCTTTTTTTTTTAATTTAAATTATGAAGTAGATTGTTAGTTTTTTACCTTGTTGAGGTTGATCGACTCTTCTTCGAGCTTTTGGCTTGTTGTGTAATCGTTTTTGGCACTGTGTTGATTTGGCTCTATTTATTGGTCATTAATCGTATGCTCATCGCAGTGATTTCCCCCCTGCTTTGTTAACATCATGTAGTAATGGTTGTAATTTCAGGTGTCGATTCAGCCTTTCATTTTACATTCACAATTGTATAGCAGTGTAAAGGACAGAACACAAGTCGATAGAGAATTAGAGGTCTGATTTAATTGATAACAGCATACTCGAATCCCTTGGTTATGACGTTGATAGTATTATTGATTAAAAAATTTGACACAAACATCTAGCTTGTTTTTACTCGTTGAATGAGATGGTTTTTACAATGTACCGTCTGACAATGTGATATGATATGTTTGCAGTCCTTGAGGAGAGAGAAGGTATTGCGTGTTTTCAAACTCAATACTGGACAAGATGACCATGCTATAATGTTTTTGGATGATTATTTAACCCAGGTTGGTTGCTTATATTTTTTGACCTGTGTGTGATTTTAGATCGATCACACAACGTGTATGTTGGTGTTTTTCTTGACAAGCATTTGTAGGTTTTAGTAATCAACTTTTCAGGTTAGAAATGAATGTGCTTGAAATTTTGGATTTTAAGGTTTTGTATGTGCGGTGTTGTTGGTTTGTTGTGTACTGTGTATGGTTACATGGTACAAACTTTAAGATTCTGCCACTCTACTGATATATTTTCACTTTTCTTTATTTTATGTGCAGTTAGATCGTGTCGTGAAAAGAATGGAAGAAAAGAAGCAACGTAATCTTGAAGTTTTTGAGTGGTTTAAAGCACATGTTATTGATAACAAGCAGGATCCTAGTATTGACCATCAAGAGCTCGTAAGCTCTATGGATATCTACTTGTGCTGTTTATTTACTGTCATGTCTGCCTATGAAGAAAACAAGAAATTACCCTCCTTACCTTTAAGCTCTCAGCAATCAAATATCATGTTAAAAAAAAACATAATTTAGCATGATGATAATATTTTTATTTTCATTCTCTCTTGAATTTCAGTATTTGCATTGCTTTGGTATTAGTGAAGTTGGTAAATAATAACCAATAAATCATTGAATCCTAATTACTCAACAAGGACCTTAATCCCAACTGTCTTCAGATTTGGTAGCTGTAGATATCTTATAGAGCATTGATTATGTATGCGTGTGCGCGCGAGCACATGTCCTCACAATTTTGTAACCCTTTGAAACAGTGCTTACTCCTGTCACATGATGGAAAGGTGAAGGACGAGCACATCTCTCTTTTAATCAATGCTGGTCTTCTTGTAAGTAAATTCTGAATTCTCATAATCTGCTCCATTGTGCACTTGCTTGAATTAATGAGTGGCTATGCTAGGTTAAGGATATTGCAGATTATTCTGTGCTCATTTTATTCTACTGTTAGAAATACCTTACTCCCTATTGGTGAATGTACCTAGTCAAACTAGGTTTTTTCTGGACACAAATGAAAGAAGAAATGGCAACCAGCCCCATTGGAGCCATTTGGAGCTTCTGGCTGGCAGCTTGGTTTGTGTGCACAAAAACCCTTAAGGTTCACCCAAAAAAATGCTGGTTGCCATGCCCAATAAAACATTGATAAAGATCCCCATTACTTGAATATTTGTAATCGTTGGATTTTGAGTGAGAATATTGCTTGGCTGTGCATCTGAATGATATGGGTTCAACATACCAAGATTAAATGGTAGCTTGTAGCTTCCTTCCAATGGGGATCAACTTATTTTCAGTTTTGATGATTTCTTCCCTGGGATTCCAGGTTCAAATGGAATCAATGGGACTGTAGTAGCATTGACAGTTGACATATCCTGGACAGTAAGATGCTTTGATGGATGATGTAAAGCATAGTTGTTGGTTAAAGAAGTAAAGTTTCAGAGTTCAGAAGAAACTGTGTGAAAGGTAATTCGGTGTTGTGCTGTTATGACATGCTTGGGTAGTAAACTGGTGGATAGAGGCTTTTGGACATATCATTCCCTTTTGACACCTTTGTTGTTACGATTTTATTAGATCTTGGCTTCTAGATCTTCTAACCTAAATAAAATCTATTGGCTAACTGAGAATACACAAGCTAGAATCTTTTCTTGGCGTTCAGATTTTGAACTTATGCTTTGCAAAACCTTCAACTGTTATCCAGTTAGCTGGTCTTTAGATTTGCCTCCAACTTCTGTTAGAATGGTATATAATTCAGCTCATATTTGCCTGGAGGAAAGGGGGAAGGGGGATTAGATGACTGGGTGAGTAAGAGCAAGAATGAATGAAAGTAATTGGAGTCCCTATGCCAAACATTGCTAAACAATTCAAAAGAATCAGCCGACTTTTGAGCTGAAAATATTGTTCATTAACAAATTTAAGGTTTTGCTCCTGAACCCTGCTGAAATTTGGAAATGTGCTGAAATTTGGAAATTCACATGGGCATTGCTGTTTGATAAACTGGGACCTGATCTCACATGGCCATTGCTGTTTGATAAACTGGGACCTGATCATGCAATTGAGTATTGTACCAATGGGTACTTTTAAACCTGATGTGAACATTGTTAAAGAGTAATATAAAACTATTCTTGGAACCTCACCTAAAAGCTTAAGCTTTTGGGTGAGATGATTTTTTGACATGGTGTTAAAGCTTTGCTGACCAAACAATTACAAGTTCAAATCTCAATACTCCATTCTAATTAATAAAAATTAAGTATAATGTAGTGTAAGCTTGTGCAAGTTTCAAGCTCAATATGTTTTCACTTTAAGGGGTGTGTTAGAGAGTAATATAAAACTATGTAAACTTGTGCAAGTTTCAGTAGGTTTTCACTTCAAGGGGTGTGTTAGAGAGTAATATAAAACTATTATTGGAACCTCATCTAAAAGTTTGAGCTTTTGGGTGAGATGGTTTTTTGATGAACATGATCTTTTACTGTCCATGCAAGTCTGTAGGCAGAGACTGAACTTTTCCATTTGGGATGCTTGCACATATGCAGACATATAAATGGTTTATGTATCCTATCGCACCCCGTACATGGTTTGTGCCTGTTTAGTGCACAGTGATAAACTAAGCACACTTGCCTATTTGGGACAGCAAGGCGGATAACTCTGAAAGTTTAAATATGATTGCTATACAAAAGCAGTCCATATTACTTATTTTTGTAGTGGGTTAAATCAAATGCTGATTATCTTTTCTTTTTAAATGTGTTTTTATGAATTTCTGTTGCTTGTTATTTATTCATTTTTATTTGTTGTCTCTCTGCCAACATTTTTGATGATTCATGTTCCTGTTCAATCTAACTTGGATATTTACCTGCTAGACTCGCCAACTGATTGATCCTAACATGTACTGGTTTTCAATTCCAAATATTGGTTCAATACTCAAGGGCCTTTCTCAGGTACAGAAACAGTTTATTTATATTATTAGGATTGTTGGTTTTCTGGTTATAGGAAAATCAAGGATTCTGGTTATTATATTGGTTTTTGTTATCTTTAAAATTATTATTAATAACTACTCACTCTTGATTCAGGGAAGGAAGGAGCTCTTATCTCTTTTAAACCGACAGAGATATAAAGAAATGATGCTGGCCCCTTTGGAGAAGAAGCGTCTTCGACTGTCTCTGCTTGATATGAGATTTCACCTTCGTGACTTGATTGGCTCAGGTCACCTTAAAACTGTCAATACACCAACTGGATTACTTGTTCGGGTTTCAAAGGATTAAAACTCCAAACTTTACCGATTCCATATGGATTCATGTGATGTCAATCTTGGATGAGGTTTAGTTCTCTGAAATCTAAATCTTTCAATTGTCAGCTTTCTGTTTCGGTCATATTCTGCTGATGATGGGTAGGAATTGTTCCACGGTTCAAAGTGACAACAAAATAAGAAAAAGGATTGAGAAATCACTTGCATCATCAAACAAATGAATTCTAGATGATGCTGAGTTTCTTCTCCACCAGGTCTTTACTTATTTCCTATTATTCTGCATCTGTTATGTTTTTCAAGATGTAACTTTTCCATGATTAATTGAATCAAGTTAATATAATATACCTTCATGCAGTAGCATGGGTCTGTGCAACGTCTGCTTATCATCTATTTTACAACTTGATGCGCTGATATCTTTGTCTTCACTATCCTTATTGTGATGAAAATCAGATGAGCTGCCCTTCAACCACTGTCGCATTCTTATGCAGAATACAATATGAGAGAGCAATTGAATTATTTGAATTACTGTTATCTGAACTGTGCATTTCTAACGTACTAAAATTTATTAGGCTATGCATAATTTAGTACTCTTTAAACACAATATTCTCATGTCATATCATTAGCAGTTATTTTTAGTCATTGTCCTATGGGCAACATGAAGCTGAGCCCTCTAGACATAGGTGATCTGCAGGATCATGCTCCCATAGTGAAAATGAAAAGAATGTTGATGTTGAATATTTCTCAGGATCCCAAAATTTGTCATTTCTTATCTACCAAGCTGATAGGACCTGTGTTTTGACCAAAGATAAAAGGTTCTCGTGGTGACACTGTAGTAACTTTGAATGCATACCCTTCAACTTCATGCAGTTTTAGGGCATCTTAGCAGACACAAATTAAACGATAGTTGCAAGGAAATCATCCAAGAGCATGAACAAGGGCATTGAAGGAGCCTCAGGGTCTACCTTTATTTTTTAGAGGTCACCCGTGTTTCACAAACCTCAAAGTTACTAAAGGCTTATATGATTATTAATTTTAGAATCCGTAGAATTAGTTAATGTGTGAGTAAACTTGCTTATACATCTCTGTTAGTAATAATAATAATAAAAAAAAGCATGGAAAGAACATTTAATAGAGTCTAGCTGGTGGGTGTATCCTGCATGGTTTGGATCTGTGTTAGTGAGTTTCTCAATTAAAAAAAGCACAGATCCGTGTGTAGGAGTCCGACCCACTGCTTATGATATTTTTTAAACAACATGCCTGTGCTGCTCACTGTGCTGAAACATTTGCACCTAGTGGATGTCACCATCACAAAAGCACCCTCATTCTTTTCACCTGTGCATTGACAGGTTAAATTTTTTGTTCTATCCTTCCTCCTATGACAGGCTTGTCATGCCCTACGAGCCAAAACTTATTCAAGATTTTTCTAAAACTTACCATACACATTTCTATCAAATATGAAAACTACCAATTTCTCTCTTGGATTTTAGATTTTTTCTTCGTATATTTTATCTGTGAAACAGATTGAAGAAAATAGATAAAGCAAATGGGGCATTTCATTTCCATACTTGGGTGGTATCATTAGAGGTTTTCTAACACATTCTCAAAGTCATTTTAATATTAATAACAAATGGAAGGTTTCATTTTTATAATCGAATGGTTTTAATTTTTGTAATTGTGTAAGCTGATTATGCAGGTTAAAACCTTTCAATTATTGATATCAATGCATGAATTTTGTGCAGATGTCAGAAAAGCCCATAAAACATAGATTTTATTTAATGATTGGAATAAAAAGCTCTTCATGTCTTTATCTTTAATCAAATGAGAGCGTTTAATATTATGATTCATGATCTTTTTTAAAAAACTATGGTTTTATATAATGATGATTTGTTACAGGCTAAGGGGGGTTTTCCTGTTTTTTTAGAAAATGATTATCATCTTTATTAAATTTTAATTATTGAATTAAAATTAAATGGTTATAATTAAGGACATGATTAGAATAAAAGATTTTACTCCATAATATTTTATTCCTTTTAATCCAATTCAAATGATTTATGCGTGGTTAAAAGAACATTTCATTTATGAAATCAAAGAAAGGTTGGGAACCCCCACTTGAAAGTCTTCAAAGGCGAAGAAAAATACCAGAAGTTGTCTGGTACAAGGAACTTTTTTTCAAATATCTGGGGCAAGTGGGGGCAGTGGCCTCCTTCTGCCTCCTCACTGGCTCGCATAAAAAGTTCAAAATTGCTGGGATAGAAGTTAGAAGGGTCTGTATGGACGAAATCCACTTGGTTCGTGTCTAGACTTTTGAGCTTATATATAGATAGGATGCTATACATGTTAGTTCTTTGGTTCCATGCTGTTTCTTCACGTTCATGAAAGTAAAGCTTAGAGAATAATTTACATAGAACTCAGCGAATGTGGCTTCTTAATTACGTGGTGGAAGAAAATGAAGTAGAAACTAGAGTAAAAGTCCAAAACGATCCATCATGGGGTAGAGGGAATCTTTAAGAGGGATATATATACATATATATAGAAAGCCTCGAGTAGCCATTCAACTAGCTAGGATGACAGGACATGCATGCATGTGACCCTTTTTCCTGTATAGGAGTTTAATAAAATAAGGCCCTTTACATCATAAATATTCTACAAAATCCTCTATATAGTTAACTATGTAAGGTTCTTTCATAAATAATGTGGAACGCATCGCCATCAATCGCAATATTTAGGAATTATGAATTCAGTTATATCTGCAAGTATCCTATGAGGACATGAATCAATAGTAAACCCATGTTTGCATAGTAATGATTAATCTATCTCCAGCTTCTTCTTTATTTAATTGTGAGATCTTTCAAACATGGAAAAATCTATTTTGTACTGGAAGAATATTGGATCTATGCTATATATATATATCAGACGCGTGGATATCCTTACACTATTAGCTGATATCTATATTGGTAAAGCTAGCCATGCTAGCTAGGGTGACACTTTCTTTGTTGTATTCTTGTATATTTCTTGTTTGTCAAGGATAATTAAACTGTGCTCGAAGGATTATGTTAATGGCTTGGAGATGCAACTGATGCCATACTATTTTATTCCATGATCTTTCATGCATATTTGCAAGTCATCGATAGAAGTTAACAATAAGCTAGGCTCCAAAAGTAGAGCAGCCTTGTATGTTTGGCATGCATGCGCTCTCCCTTTCCAAGCAGATGATGTTAAGGCCCTAGTTTTGTATCTACCATGTTGTCTTGTACTGGTTTCTTTACCTAGTGGCAGATTAAAAACTACCCACAATGCACTTCACATGTTCCATTTAAGTGAAGCATACAGACATCAGTTAACCATTCTACCTGATGTAGAGATGTTCGACATGCTTGTCTCTGTTCCCTTTCCTTTTTCTTTGGCATCGGGCTCGTCGAAGCTCACAGAAATGGCATCTGACATAACCCTTCATGTGAATGTTTATTGGATTTTTACCCCATTTAAATGCCATGCTGTCAGTGACGACCTAGATCATATATCTATAATATTCATGTATTACATGCACTCCATGGAACACCCTTTATTGAAAAAAAAAAAAAGGAGGAGGAGGGGTGATAAAAAATTTAAAAAGTAGCATAAGTGCGAGAAATTGAGAAAATAGAGTGATTCAATCGTTAGACTGCTAGGAGGAGCAGTGCAAGCCATTAAGTTTTAATTGATTGTGCTATTACGGTAAGCATAATCTTTAATTATTTTTCAAAAAAGTTTCTCTGCTACTACTAATAGCACAAACCTTTATTAAAAAATAAAATAAAATATGAAAGTTGCACTATTACAAATGAAGTACCATTTAATGATTGTGCTATAACTTTGAGGAATTTTCTTTTTAATTTTTAATAAAGTACCATTTAATGATTGTGCTATAACTTTGAGGAATTTTCTTTTTAATTTTTAATAAGATTTAAAAAAAAGGAGGAGGGGTGATAAAAAATTTAAAAAGTAGCACAAGTGCGAGAAATTGAGAAAATAGAGTGATTCAACTCGTTACACTGCCAGGGGGGGCAGCGCAATCCATTAAATTTTAATTGATTGTGCAAAAGTTATGCTGCTACTAATAGCACAGCCCTTTATTAAAAATAAAAAAAATATATGAAAGTTGCACTATTACAAATGAAGTACCATTTAATGATTGTGCTATAACTTTGAGGATATTTTTAATTTTTCTTTTTTTACGAAGTACCATTTAATGATTGTGGTACTCTTAATATAACAATATACTTTAAATTTTCTGAACGCCTCATTACTGAGAATTATTGAGAGTATTAAAAATTAATATAAATTATATTTTAGAATATTATATAATAATTTAAAATTGTAAATCATTATAAATTTTTGATATGATATTATAGTCTAAATAATCAAACAATTATAAAATTTAATTTTAAAAGATTTTTATTAAAAAATATGTTAGAAAATAATATAAATTATATTTTAATATTTCACCTAACTACTTAAATTTTTTACATTAATATAGATACTAACATAAATAACCTAATGAATTTTAATTGGTTACATTACTCCCAATTAATAACATAACTTGAGATCTACTATTTATAGATTTTTTCCCATATCAGCTAAGCTAGTTTAAGAAAAACTGTTTAACAGAAAGTTACCGGGGCGTCGATTCCTTGGGCTGCAGGATAAGAAAACAACCGCCCAAGGAGGCTGCTGGGTAAAATTTCTTCAATAGTTTCAACTAGAGGAGGGTGACCTTCGGGGTTGCGGCGCAGGCGCAGGCGCGTTTGCGTACATAAGCATATAAAAGCTTGATCCCACAAGATTAGATAAATTAATTAACTTATTAAAAAAGAAAAGAAGGCTAATAAGATACGAAAAAAGGATTAGTATAAAGACTTTTAATTGAAATCCAACATGTAATCATACAATCCGTAGACATGAAGACTTTGTTTGCCTAGCCAGAGATAGCACCCACCACACACACCGTGTCACAAAAAAGTTGGTGAAATAATTTGATTTGGATTATAACATGTGGATCCCAGTAGCCAAATCAAGAATCTAATCATAAACCCTGCAAGTTTTTTTTTTTTTTAAAAAAAACAGGCTCATGAAGCATCAGAATGGTAGTAGAGAGGAAAGATTGTTGGACGCTAGCATCTTCAGAAAAGGGATCGAGCTGTTTGGTGTGAGATAGCTTTCAAGGGCTGGTCCAAAGAACGGTAGCGACTCCTCTTCAAAGCCAGCTAGGGTTCATAGGGGAGCTAAAATCTAGACATTTTCTGGAAATTAATGGATGGAGCATTGTGCAGCCACGTAAATGCCGAGCTGTGCGTTGGAGACTAGATGATGTAACAAGTACTTGATGGGGGACTTTAAATAATTTTGCCAAGACATTAAAAGAAAAAACTATTTCTCCTATAAAATTCACCGTGCACCCAGATTTAGATTGATATTCATTGTAATAGTAAAATTATAAAATTGCTCTTATAGGAAAAAAAATCATTGAATTAGTTATTTATAATAAGATTGTC